GGATACGCTGGATTAGTACATTTATCCCAGATCAAACAGGTGAACTTGTAATCAGCGAATACTAACTGCTTTTTGAAGCTTTTTCAAAAACAAGCATATTTATCTATCGACGTTTTTATGAAGGAAAAACAGCAGAAAATACCAATATGCGAAAAAATACTATTGATAGGTAATTGCAGCAGTAAAATAGGCGTGAACGCGCGCGGCATTAGATAAAAAAGACGACTATCATTAGAAAAATTCTCTTTATTTTATATTTTATGCAAATGTTTGGAGCCCAAATTCTGTTGTTTTCTTTTTTTATCTCCTCCCTTGTTTGATGTTCGTATTTATAGCCTCTCGCTATTTCACAGTTTCTCCGCAACCGCCATTAAGTATGCACAATAAATGTACACAATAAATTATAGCGGATACAAGTGTAACCGGCCGAGGAGAGGAAAGGGTCATGTTTAGATGTGTGATTAAATTTGAACAGCTGCAGTTTAATATTTAATGAAGTAGGCGAAGTAAACGCAGGTGCAAATCAGCAAATGATCCCTGCAATTTCTCCCCTCCAACTGAAGTATTATCATAACAAAGAGCTGTTTATTGCCCTATGAAAGCACTCGGATCGTGTCTTGATTAAATGGAAGTGACAGGTTAAATTCCACGTGAAAGGATACTACTTAAACAGTCTTGCGGTTGAGTTCCTGCTGTCTGAGATATCTTAAGTGCAATAACTCACAGCTGCTTTTGTACTTATCAATAGTTTCACTCTACTTAAGAACAGACAGCGAAAAAACAGCAACAATGTTATTACAGCAAAAGTACCAAAAAAGGAAAATAGTACCAAAAAGGGAAAATAGACATAGTAAGTAAAACAAGGATAGCCGGTTACAGTGCAAGTAGAACAGAATGTTCCAACCATTGTCTTAAAAAAGATTTAAAAAATTCAAATTTTTCTGCAGGGTGTGATAAAAAGGTTTAAACAAAAATTAAAATAAGGCATACAAAAAAGGCCAATTGGAAAACATTTTGACTAGAAAAACGAAAAAAAAAATTATGCAGAAAAATTTTGAATTTTGAAGTTTTCGATTCATAAATTGGCGCTAAAAAAACTCCAAAAATTAACTTTACTCAAGTAAGACTAAATTTTCACGGGTTAAATTAAGCATAAATAAGCTTTTGTAAACCTGTTTGGCCTCACTTTATTAGCTTGAAATAAGACTAAAGACCAAAAATTTCAAACTGGTTTTTTTCGACACTGAGAAAAAATTTTTGATAAGTTTTGTCGCTCGAATCACGTCTGGAAGGATTTGATACAATAAATCACTTGACCCATTCCGATGATTATTTGTGGTACCCGCGTGAAAAACAAAACTAAAAAAACTAAGTAACCCGAATACGAAAATCCTCCACATTTTTCGAACGATCAGAACAAAAAGGGCCCAAATTGTTTGCATTTTCTTTGTTGACAGTATAGATTTATTATAATTATCGCGATTCGTAGTACCCCCGTATTGGCGAGTTTCTTCATTAAAAAAACGTTTTAAAACCAAAAGCTAGATATTTGACAAATGTTGCATTATAAAAATCTCAGACAGAATAGTTATCTCATCGTACCAAGGAAAAGGTCCTAAATTTGCATGATGAACGATTTCATTCTTGTGCTGTAGGTGCATTGATATCTTTGAAGATTTTCGTCAACTTGGTATCATAGCTTTAACCTTAAAACGTTATCTCTTTTAATTATTTAATATATAAATCAGAAAAACCATGCTTCAAAATTAAACTTATTCTTGCTGACATTTTTTGTTTTTCGTTTTTATCAAACACTCTTGAAGTACAGTGCTGATTTAAATTATCCGGACAAAATGAATGAAGCTTGAATTTTGAAACACGTTTTTCTCAAATTAAGTTAAGATTAGACAAAAAGTGAACAGAACAAAAATTGCTTAGAATTTCATCACAATTAATATGGTGCAATTTGTTCTCCGAAATTCTCAACCAAAATTTTACCCCAAAAATTGGTCGTTTTGGCTTTTTTCAATTAATCAAAAATTACACTGAAACTACTAAGTTAATTGATGATAAATAAATATCACAAGAAGCCTCGTACACAGCCCAACAAAGTTCTAGAAGGGTTGAATCTCCAAAAACCTGTTTAAGAGAAAACATTTCTGCTTGATAGTCAAAAAATGGGATTTTTACTCAATAAACCCAAAACCTTAGCTTAAAAACAAATTTCAAATAAAATACTCAAATTTTTGGAGATTTAACTTTTCTGGAACTTTGTTGGGGTGTTTAAAAGGCTTCTTGTGATATATATTTCTCATCAATTATTGAAGTAGTTTAAGCGTAATTTTTGATTAATTGAAAAAACCAAAATGACCGATTTTTGGGGTAAAATTTTGGGTGACAATTTCGGAGAAAAAATTGCACCATATTAATTCTGATTAATTTTTAAGCAATTTTTGTTGTGTTCAGTTTTAATCTAATCTTAACCCAATTTGAGAAAAAAGTGTTTGAAAATTCATGTTTTATTCATTTTGTCCGGATAATTTAAATCAGCACTGTAGCACTGAGTTTGACAATACATGTCTCCAAAATGACATCCAAAGAAGTGTCTCCAAAAAAATCACTGTTTTCCTATGAGTATCCGCCATTTCTGCTGAATACCATTTTGAAACTGAAGGCAATTAGTTAGTTTTTTGGCTTTTGCATTGAGCTCAACAGATCGTGCATTCAATACCCTTGAATGGCAACCATAGTGAGTGAGGACGAGCTCTCATTTGACCTCGCGTCTTGTCTATCTCAAAAGCGCCGATTTAGGTTTCAAAACAGCTCACAATAAAATCATTGGACAACGTCTTAACTTTCTGAAAATATTGAGCTTATACAGCAAAATGGCGTTCAATTTCGAAAAGAATTTCAAAATTGCATTTCAACAATCAGAAGAGCAATGCCAAATGATTGCGCTTTTTCAGCGACGTCCATTTTCAAGCGCACAACTTCGAAACAATATTTAATCATTAACGATTTATTTAATTGCCAGACCCCGGATTTTAGCTCACTATTGTCCGTGGTTAACTAACTATTTCTAAGAAAAAGGAGGAAATCAACTGATCAGAGAGATGCGCTTTAACTAAATCAGTTGAAATTCTATAGAAAACCGACGGTTTGTCATTTTTGAAAGATTATACGTCAGGGTCTAGACAACAGGCCGACGGGAATTCAAGCCGAAGGGACTTCAGGCCGAAAATTGAAGTTTACAAGCACCTCAAAACACTATTTTTCATCTGTAAAACGTTGCTTTTTAACACTAGTCAAGTTTAGTCCATAAAAAGTGTTATTCATGACAATGCAGCACTTGGGATTGGCATCCGTTAAAAACATCAGCCGGTTTTTGGAATGCATAAATTAAAAACATGGAAAACACCTTCAACCATGTTTTATTTTTCAGCTTTCCTAAACATCATTTGGAGGCTTAAATTTTATGAAAACGCTAATAACTTGTGGAGAAAGATCATGAAATTCAGAAATTTCTATAAAAAAAATTCAAATTAATCATATTTCACAACTTTAAAAGAAAATATTCGGCTTGAAGTCCCTAATTTTACGATTCGGCTTGAAGTCCCGTCGGCTTGATGTCCGGCACCCTATACGCCAGCATTAAAATTTTCACTAAGGCTAATAATCACGTGGCGGGGGGTTGATTAGATTCTGTAAATTACAAAACTGTAAATGTGAAAGTTTCTCGGTAAATAAAAAACTCGAGTTTTCTAATAGAATCACTATTTTTATAACAAAAATTCGTTAAAAAGTGTTTTTTTTTGCTTTTAATGCAGCAATTTTTGAAAAAAGGGAGTTATATTTAACTTTATTTTCAACTAATTCGATGGTTTTAAAGATTTATTTAGTTACCTAAAATGATTTCAACTACTCAACTGAAAATCGGGGCCTGTTAATTGCAAAAAATTCGTACAGACAGAATTAATTAAAAGGAGCAATATTGTCATTCTGACAGAAATTTGCAAGCAATTTCGATGTTTCAGACAATGTTGAGGCACATCTTTGGTCTGGAAATTTAGGTCAATAACTTTTTAAATTTAACTTAGTCTGTCCGACTGTCCGAACTTTTTGTTAGTAATTATCCCATGCAATTTCCAGAGCAAAACCAAACAAAAAACACCGACAAAATGCATACGCGAAATATCAATGACAATTTTGAATTAAATTGGCTTGAAGATCAGAATTAAATCAAAAGTTTTAGACGTTGGCCAAAAAATGTGTTATAATTAATACTTTCTTTGTCTGCTATGAGGTTTTCATTTAGTTAGTTAAAACTAGTTCAATTTAGGTTTTTGGAGTTTTTTTGCGTTCGTTGACCTAAACGCATACTACTAACAATTTAGCATCAACTGTAAAAAAAATTATAATGGGCCTATGTAGAAATTCTATAAGCAAAAAAACTGCCCTGAGTAGCAAAAAAAAGCTTCGCTCAACAAAAAACGCAGCCTGGGTTGTGGGGGAAAAGAATCAAGGATAAAATCCTACACAAGCTTAACAGCCTTCAATCGATCCTTTGCGCTTCGTAGAAACGAAATTATTGTCATGGATTACCGCTCCAAGATCTTTTGGCACGTATTAATTCTTTCAGAAGTGTTCATGGACTTTTGAAAGTTAGAAAAAAATCATATGATTAATTTAAAAACGGAAATTGGTGAAATAATGAGTTTTTCGAAATACAAAAAATGTTATCGCCCTTTGATGAAAAAACGCTGGTTAAAGCATTTTTTTTTACTTTTCTCTTGACCAGGAAACTTGTCTCGATTTCAAAAAAGACGAAATCATACTGCGCCTTAAGCTGACGGTGTTTTTCTCGAATATCAAAAAGATAACCTACTAGATCGCTGGTCCCCTGAGGTCTGCGCTATCCGAAATGATTATTTGACTATAGTTATTTACAAAATTTGGTACCAGTTAAAATGCTTTAGGGTTTAGATGTGAGAGGTACTTACACAAGCTTGCTTTCGTGCATGGAACTGCAGTAGCATCCGGCTGGAGTGAGCTGGTCTTGGCACAAGATGTCTTTCATCGGCAGAGGAACTCCAGTCACCACCACAAGTCCAGACAGTAAAAGTGTCAAATTGCCAACAAAAACTAGAAGTAAAGCTAATAGACTAACTGTCGTGGAAGCCATTTTGTGCTAAGTTGCTTCAAATGATAACTTCAGGATTAAACAGCTAAATTAGATACGAAAGTAACAAAAAAGAGGGCAAATTTGCGTGCTGATCACGTTTCTAAGAGTTTAAAAGAGCATCTAAAATCAAACGCAGCTGAAACCTGATGCAAACGGCAAATGCAAACGATTTCTTAGGTTGAAGAAATAAATTAAAAGTAAACTGAATATAAATTGTACAAAAGATTGAGATTATGAAGACAAATTTGGTTGGCTCAGAACAGAAGCTGTATTTTGTACCTTCTTAGATGAAACTGACACACGTTAAATTGGCTCCGCCGATTATTCTAGGATTGGTAATCATGTCTCATCGAAGAACATTGACTGAAAGCTTTGACAACGAAGGAAGGGCCTGATAGACTTTGAGGAAATAAAGAAGTTAGTTTGCTGAAACTCAAATACAGCAAACGAACTTCTGTATTCTAAAATCTTAAACTAAGTTTACCCAAATTGTGGTATCGATCGAGGCAAATGCCACCTCAGGGGTTCTTGTTAGTAGTAAGTAAGTTTTTGTTTACAATTTAAGGCGAAAAGTAAACTGAGCGACAGAAACGAAAGAGAAACAGAAAGTTCACAACAGAACAGAAGAAATATAGTCAAAATGAAAATAAATCATGATAGAACCTGTTCAAGCCAAGTGCCAAAAAAGGAAATAATAATAAATAGAGAAGAGCTAAAGAACTGTTTGAAGAAAAAAAAATAGAATTGCAGTTTAATTTAAGAGCAAGAGTGCGACACTAGTATTCTATCGCGAAATAAAGTGACGAGGTAAAAGTAAAAAAGGGAAGAATTTACTAGGGAAGGGGAAAATAATAAACAAAAAAGTAATTATAGGTCGCGTGCTTTTTTTGTAAAAAATACAATTAAGGTAACTCGCGGCGCCGAGAGGGATTTACTAACGGGGATCAGAATTTGCTAAAAACTGATAAAAAATTGGCAAATTAAAACTCAGCATTTTTCAAATTTTTGGGAAAAAGAATATATTTATTTCAAAACTGTTTATTCGCTGTTAGAGTAATAGCAAATAGAAGGAAGGGAATTAAAGGGAGTAAAATATCAACTACTAAAAATTGAGATGACGAAATATTAGTGGCTAAATCCGATCGCGTTCCGAGGGATATTTTTTTGTCAGATGATACAATAAAGAGTGTGTAACATTTATTAACATAGGCGCAAATAAAAAAAGATACTTGAAAAGCACACACTTCTTTTTCTGTTGGATCGTTGTTTTTTCCGTTCCAAGCAGACAGAAAAGAGCAAAAATAGAACAAAAATCCAGCTCAGCTTTTTTGACTCGATCGATATTCAAATAACCGCAAAACAGCGGACAATAATAACACCTCGTTTAACCGCACTACAACCAATCGATCTTCATCCGTGGAATGAAAGGAGTTAAAGACTGGGGAAAATTGTGTCTGTCTAAATCTAGGCACCTGATGACAAGGCACAATTTGAGTGTCCTTTCTTCCTATTGACAGATCATAGTGCACTTCAGGGTCTCAGTGCAAATGCGTTAGACGTTCATTTAACTCGGAAGTTCTTTTCTATTCAGTTTGTTCAATTTCAACTTTCGGAAGTTCTCTTCAAAAGAGTTTAAATCGAAATAGAATCATACCAATCATACTACAGTCTTACAGTGATGTAGTGAAGCCTGTGTTTTTAAAATGGAGACGTATCTAATCGCTTTAATGTAAACTAAAGGCAACTCAAAAAAAGTGGGTCACCTTTTGATATTTCCCGACGATTTGGAAGTTAGAGAGGCAAAGTAACTTTTCATTCAGGGTATAAATTGTTTTATGGGGTCAGACGGTTATTTTTGGGTCAGACTGAAAGTTGAGAGACGTGTACGGTGCTTTGTTTGCTTTAACATCCTAATAAAAGACAATGGATTACGTCACTTGTACGATTGCGTAACTCTTCGAGACAAGTGTGATTAAATTTGTCGGCACCTGAATCTATTTATAGCAACACGTGGAAGAATGAACGAATGCAGAGATATTTCTTTTAGATTTTTCTTCTAATAATCTGACATCAGTGGCGCTCGGAAAATGACACGAAATTAACTCACAAAATAATTTGAGAAGCTGGTATGAACTGGTGGCTCAGAAGTCTGCTGATAATGATTAATTAAAGAGTGGCAAATGAACGGCAGCAATTACATTTTGAATTAAAACAAATGAGCAAATAAAACAAATAATCGAATAAATCGTATATCAATGTAGATCTTCTTAATTGGCTTGTGAAGTAAAAACAGCGTTACAAATAATCGCACAGCTGAAAAATACCAAGGTGTGCCATCAAATTGTAAATTGAACTTTTGCTTTTATGATTCATGAAAACTGATTTTCACAAACCAACAACGTGTACTTAGGCTGATCCGACGCCATTCCAATTTTGGAAACCAAGGGCGTTTTAAAGATTTTATCCGGAGGATGCTTTTTAGTGCACCCAAAATTTGTTTTAACCGACAGAAAAAGTTGGCTCATATTTTGATAAGGTCTATAGATGTCTTGTGGGCTGTAAAACAATGATTTCAACTGAAAATTTGTTCGTCCTTAATTGGTTGATACTTCCTCATTAAGGGTGTCTTGATTTTCTCCACCTTTACTTGACATACTTAACTGCAAGGTCCTTTAGAGTAGTTAGCCTTACCTAAATGACCAGGACTAACCGGGGCTGTGCTTTTTCATTGATAGGTAATGTAATTGATACTTGACCTGCCAAGCAATAACCGATAATTGATGGAACTTTTTGTGATTATCAATTGTTGACTTTTTACTATCGAATATATCAAGCTTTAAAAAAAACGCAACTGGTCGCACTCAGAAAAATCATTACCACAAGAATAGGAGTCTTTTTAGCCCGAATAATACAGTGAACTAGTTTTTCTGCGGAGCTGTAACGAACTGAATTGGAAATTTTAGAATTTCAAATGGAAGTTTTGAATTGAAGATCCATTTTTATGGCATTTTAAAGGTGCTCACAGATTATCGAAACGTTGCGAAATAATTGATTGACAGACTTTGAAAAATCGAAAGGTGCTCGAACTTTTGTTCAAGTTGCGGAAACAAATGTCTTGGCGGGAAACCAGACCGGAGTAGAAGATCTTACAGCGGGTGGTTCTAGAGTAAGATGGTTCAGTTGGCTCAAGTTTTGAATCTTGATTGAGAAAAGCGTTGAAAAGTTGGATTTTTGCAAGGAACTAGGATACATGAATTGGTAAGTGAACTTTAAAACCAATTCCTTCGAAAGCATAGAAAACGGAAGAAAAGATTTCGTCCCGGTTTAAGAGGAGGGCTTGATTTTAGGGATGCGGTTGAGTACAAGCATGCAAGTCCCTTCTTTGAAACACCTAAGCATTGACGGGGGTGAAAAGTGCGAATGAAAAACAAAGTATGTGTCAAACGAACGGGATGTGGAGATAACAACAGTGGGAGATGAAAGAGTGTTAAAAGTTATTTTATAACAGGAAAGGCTTTTCACCCTTAGCTTTGGTTTTGAGTATCTTCCAAGCAAATTAAGGTGTTACAGTCCGCATTTCACCAGGCTGTCAAAACGTAATCGATAATGGGGTACTTCGATGCATATATCTTTTTATTGAAAACCAAAAAACTGCTACTGATCATTTAGAAAACGCAAAAGTTAAGGTAGATGAATAACTAGTATGTGCGCGTGATAGACTGTGTTCGAAGTAAGCGGGCCCTTATCTGGTGGTTAAGGGGCATGAAGTCTTCAAGTATTGAAGAGGGCGGTCGACACGCTTGATCCGTACCGAACTTTACTGTGGACGATGTTACGAGGAAATGATTGGTCACACAAACAAAGAGAAAGATTATCGACCATTTTAATGATTACTAAGCCAGGGAACTATATCTCTAGCGAGAGGTGTGGTATGACCGAGTTTTTAAAGTTTTCGATGACGAAATATGTTCAACTCCTAGCATAGATCTGACGTCGCAAAAATAGTGCGTATTTTGACTTAAGAATGCAATTCTTGTTAAAAACCGCCTCCAAAAAATCACGCTGGAATAGTGCAGTAGTGGTGGCATGAAATGGGCGCATTCCCTCTTGATGGATGGCTTTTGAGAAGTGCGTATTACAAACTGGACGAATGAGCGTTTCTGAAATTTTAACAGCGGAGACAAGTAACAATATGGGCATGTATTAAACGACAGTTTACACAGATGCAAAGCTGTGCTTCGCAAACACTTGCGGGAACACAAAAAACGCAACTGTAATAAATGAAATTAGCGAGTAACGCACCTGCGGTGCTTCAAATTTTTAACAACTAAAAAAAACGCATATATTGGAAATCAGAGCTGCATCCTTTGAGTGCACTCTAACAGCACCCAATTACAGGGTTGGTAACTTCAATTTTGCAAAGTTTTTTATTCAAAATTTTTTAAATTCAAACTTTGAAAACCATTATAACCGTAAAAAACTCACATCTCGGAAAGTAACAGCAATTGAGCAGCCGCATTTGGACGCAAGATTTGCAACTGCTGAGAGTACTCTAACAGTACCCAACTACAGCGTAGGGAATTTCAAATTGTGAGAAACTGCACACTTCAAACTATTTTTACCGAAAAAACCAGAAAAAACTTAAATTTCGATTCTTTCCAAGATTTAAGCAGTCATATATGGAACTAGAGAATAACCCGAGAGCCCCCACAACAGGGTCGGGAACTCCAATCTTGAGGAAAAAAAAATAAATTTTAGTTTTCTGAATTTTTTTTTAAAAAATCAGAAAAAATCGTCACATCTCAAAAACTTTTAAGGTTTCGAGCAGTCAAATTTCGAGCCGAAAATTGCAAATCCTGAAATCTTGAAAAAATCCAAAAAAACTTCAAATCTCGAGAACTACAAGGATTTGAATAGTCATATTTAGAGGCAAGATTCGCAACTCCTGAGAAGTACCCTCACAGTTCCAACTACATGATTGAGATTTTCGAAATTTTTGAATTTTCCAAAATCTAAATTTTTTGAAAGGTTTTTTAAAAATCATAAAAACGTCATATATCGAAAAACTACAAAATTTTGAGAAGTGAGAATTGGAAGCAAGATTCCCAACCCTGAGAGTACCGTGACAGCTCCCAACTACAGGGTTGAGAATCTCAAATTTTAAGAAATTTTTTAAAATTAAATTTTCTAGAAACTTTTAGAAAGATCTGCCGTATTTCGTAAACTAAAAATATTTGGAGGCCATTAAATCACTAACCTGGGAAACCCTGGAAGCTTCCTACTATTGGGTTGATTATTTAAATCTTGGCGAAATAGATAAACACTAAATTTAAACTGGAAAATCGGAAAAAATCTTAACCATTGCAATATACGGTATAGCTTAAACGTGAAACTCTTTTTTTTTGAATTTCGAATAAAAAATTAGATGGTCATAAAGCTCTTTGAATTTGTAGAACAATTTAAGATGGACACTTTTTTGTTAAAATTAACCCAGTTTGAGAAAACTAGATAAATAGGTATTTTTTTTATTTCGCTGGGAAATCTGACAATTATTTTCCATTTTTTAAATTAGAAGTCGATCACGTTTTACGTAACCTTTACAATTTTGCTGTTGGATAGTGGAGTTTGCCTTCCTTTTAACAATATAAATGCACTGAACTTAAAAATAAATCACAAGTCAAACCGGGAAAAACCAAAATTGAGCGTGAACAAACTTTAAGACTTTGTCCTGAAAAAAAAATCAGCAAGAGCTAAATTAGAGTCTTCACTACGTTCATTACTCTTAATAGATTGATAAGAACAAGAAATGAGCCTCAAATTAGTTTTAAAAATTCTACAGCGTGTCGGACTCAATCCTGCGACCTAGAAATTAAGTCTCACGCGCTTACCACTCAGCCATGGACACTTAATAATCACAAACACTAGACACATATAAAAAAGAGAACAGATGCTATGCAATTTTCAATACTACAGATCGTGATTATAGCAAAAAAGCCATTAAATTAGCACTTTTATTTGAGATTTAGTTTGGGAAAAAGAAGTTCATACTAATACGCTACGCTCGCATGCTGGCTAGTGTAATAAACTTTATAAGGATTAGGCAGAGGGATGATTTTTAAGTTCTTCTACATTAGGGAGATTTTCTTTTCCCAACAGAGAAATTTTGATTGCGCTAGGAGCCCAAAAATTTCAAATGAATACCAAAAAAGCCATTCCACGTGAGCAGGGGCGGATCTAGGATTTTCTCGAGGGGGGGGCGGATTTTCGAAAAAATTTCCAAAATTTTGACGACCTTTTTTTTTTTTTAGGTCGACCAAATTGATTTTTCGAGCTCTCCCAAAGCACTGTTTTGCGCCTATTTTTGCAAAATTTTCTGCGCCGCAGGCAAATTTTTGAAAAAACAGTCAAAAAAGCCGTTTTTGGGCACTTTTTGAAAATTTTTGACAATAAAATTGCGTTTTTTTTGGCGCGCGCTCCCCCTCAAAGTTAGTATATATTGGCGCCCAAGGCGCCTTTAGAAAAATTTTAGGGTCGGTCCGCCAAAAACGGATTTCTGAAAAAGTATCAAAGGGGGGACCCTTTGGGTCGGCAGGGGGTCGAATCCCTGAGGGGGGGGGGGGGGGCGTCCGCCCCCCCCCCTAAATCCGCCCCTGCACGTGAGTGCTCGGGAGGTTTTGCTGTTCCTAATGACTTAATTAGCCGGTTGAGATGAGACAACTGGGTTGTCTTAGTGGCTGGAATTTTACTATTTTGCCTCTAGTCAACTGAACTGTTTACTGACCAATTTGCCTTTATCAGAGGAAATTGTAAACTTTCCATCCGTTTAGGGTGCATATCAATTTCCAGAAAACGAGGACTTTAGAAGGAATGGATGACAATTAGCGGTCTGCACGACATATGTGATCTTTTCATTTGGGTGTCTGTTTCATAATCTAGGAGCTCAAAATGAATGTTTGAAATTGCTGTTTTATTCTCATGGAAACACCGGGGGCGTTCAAGATCTCTTTTGTGAGCGATAGTTACTGAGCGCTGAGAAAGAGTCGAGATGAACATGAAGTGTAAGTAGCGGCGGACGGTATGCAGTTGTGTTTGAGCACGAA